GCCATGCCATCTTTGCAGAGGTGCTTACCATGTATTTTTGTGATATTTGTGGTGACTAGCACAAGCTTGCAAAGTAGCGTAATCGATAACGCTGTTTTCAGGGACTTAGAATTTCACTAAGTCCTTGTCCTGATTTTGTTGTTATGCCATATGTTCATGTTGTTTCCTAGTGATCCGTGCCTCTTTTGAGGATGATCAGTAATGATGTTTTGTTAACAATGTGGTGATCTATCCATCCATGTCTTTGTTTGAAATTATGGAGCACCCTAGCTTGAGTCAATCGAGCTCTACTTTTGCTATAAAATGAATCCTGGCAGATTGTTGACATGTTTAGCGATTTTGCCGAAGATGCTGCTATTGATCCGTGCGCGCTATGTTGTTGTTCTTGCCATGTATAGCTTCTATGCCATGTATTCTTGATGGATGTATGCTTAGTTTGTCATGCCATGCTCTGTAGTGAGTGCATCGAGCTCGCAAACATGCCTACTCATTAACTGATTTGCATGCTCCAGTTTTTCATTAAGTCTGAATCTGTTTATGTTTTTGCCATGTTCACATACTTGCAATCGTATTTTCTGATCCCTTTTAGCTCAAGGTCACTAAGGGACTTTTGTTAAGTGCTTTGAGTAGCTTCATGTCATGCCTTGCCTTGCCATGTTAAGTTCCTGTAGCATGTACTTTTCATGCTCTAGAATGTGCTTCCTGATGATAAATTCCAGACTTGTGTTAATTTCACTAAGTCTGAAACCTGTTATCATTTTCACTTTTGCCATGGTTGTTTGAGCTTGCTATTGAGTGAATTAGCCGTAGCTCAGTGTTCATATTTTGTCAAGCATCTTGAGTGGATTCCTGCCATATATTTTGTTGACATGTTTGAGTGCTATAGCATATTTATCTTGATGCATTTAGATGGCTACTTGTTGTTAATCGCAAACCGGTGCCATATTTGTTTTGCTTGCCATTTTCAAACCGTGCATCCGATTCCGGTGATCTTTATATCGATTTCAACCGAAATCACCTCACCTTTCCAGTGGCACTCTTGGATTTCCAAGTTGAGGCCAGGTTCAATCATTCCTTTCCAAATCTTGCATATGCATCGCATACCGCATCCCGCATATCATACCATGTTCGTGTGTGGTTTGTTTACTATGTTGTGTGCTTCTTTCCGGTGTTGCTTCTTTGGGTTGGTTCCGATAATGTCGCGTTTCTGAGGACCCGTTCGACTACGTCCGTTTGTCTTCTTCATGGACTCGTTCTTCTTCCTTGCGAGATTTCAGGCAAGATGAGCATACCCTCGAAGTCACTTCTATCTTTGCTTGCTAGTTGATCGCTCTTTTGCTATACCTATGCTACGATACCTACCACTTGCTTATCATGCCTCCCATATTGTTGAACCAAGCCTCTAACCCACCTTGTCCTAGCAAACTGTTGTTTGACTATGTTACCGCTTTGCTCAGCCCCTCTTATAGCATTGTTAGTTGCAGGTGAAGATTGGAGCTTGTTCCATGTTTGGAACATGGATATTTTGTTGGGATATCATAATATCTCTTATTTAATTAATGCATCTATATACTTGGTAAAGGGTGGAAGGCTCGGCCTTATGTCTGGTGTTTTGTTCCACTCTTGCTGCCCTAGTTTCCGTCATATCGGTGTTATGTTCCCGGATTTTGCGTTCCTTACACGGTTGGGTTATAATGGGAACCCCTTGATAGTTCGCCTTGAATAAAACTCCTCCAGCAATGCCCAACATTGGTTTTACCATTCGCCACCTAGCCTTTTCTTTCCCTTGGGTTCTGCAGACTCAAGGGTCATCATTATTTTAACCCCTCGGGCCAGTGCTCCTCTGAGTGTTGGTCTAAACTAGAGCCCCTTGCAGCCGCCACCTCGGAGAAACTCGAGGGCTGGTTTTAGTTGTACGGACTGCTCATCTGAGTGTGCCCTGAGAACGAGATATATGCAGCTCCTATCGGGATTTGTCGGCACATTCGGGCGCTGTTGGTGGACTTGTTTTACCATTATCGAGGATGTCTTGTAACCTGGATGCCGAGCCTGATCGGATTGTCTTGGGAGAAGGAATATCCTTCATTGGCCGTGAGAGCTTGTGATGGGCTAAGTTGGGACACCCCTGCAGGGTTTTGAACTTTCGAAAGCCGTGCCCGCGGTTATGGGCAGATGGGATTTTGTTAATGTCCGGTTGTAGAAAACCTGAAGTTGATCTTAATTAAAATGCATCAACCGCGTGTGTAACCGTGATGGTCTCTTCTCGGCGGAGTTCGGGAAGTGAACACAGTGTTGGAGTTATGCTTGACGTAGGTTGTTCTAGGATCACTTCTTGATCATAGCTTTATCGATCGTGCCTTGCCTTCTCTTCTCGCTCTCATTTGCGTATGTTAGCCACCATATATGCTAGTCGCTTGCTGCAGCTCCACCTCATACCTTTTACCTTGCCCATAAGCTTAAATAGTCTTGATCGCGAGGGTGTGAGATTGCTGAGTCCCCGTGACTCACAGATACTTCCAAAACCAGCTTGCAGGTGTCGAGGATACCGTGCAGATGACGCAACCAAGCTCAAAGAGGAGCTCTATGAAGATCTTGTCCTTTATGTTGTTCCGTTTCCAGTTGATCAGTAGTGGAGCCCAATTGGGGTCGATTGGGGATCTGTGTAGCATTTGGGGTAGTCTTCTTTTATTTTGGTTCCGTAGTCGGACCTTGAGTGTATTTGGATGATGTAATGTTTTATTCATGTATTGTGTGTAGTGGCGAGTGTAAGCCAACTATGTATCTCTTTCCCTTATGTATTACATGGGTTGTGTGAAGATTACCTCACTTGCGACATTGCTTTCAATGCGGTTATACCTCTAAGTCGTGCTTCACACGTGAGAGATATAGCCGCATCGAGGGCGTTACATAAGGTAGGGACCAAGATGGCCCCCCAAGAAGATCACAACGCCCACATGCATTGTCGCCGTCAGCACTGAGGCGCAAAGCTTTCACTCGGCCCCATCCCCATACATCGTGCGAGCAGGATACTAGCCCCTCCCTGAGTAGGACCCCACCATGATGAAACATGGGGTACCATATCCATCTCATGGCTTGGCCGCCACCGATGCGACAACTTAGTCAAGATAACACACCACAACACACATGGCCACCCACATGATCGAAACACACTACCAACACCAGGCGCACACTACTCACTAAAGAGCCAATTTGTGTATCGCGCCATTCGGAACCATTGCCCCGGCATTCTTGGTCCCCGAGACCGTCCCCGTTCCATGCCTACAACCATCGACCATCACAGGAGAGGACGAAAAGGCCACTCCTTCCCATCTCCGGACAACTCCTTGCCTCACGCCCATCGACAACGGCGAACCCCACCCCACTAGCCACCGACCGCCAATTGCGGCGCCGACACATCGAGATCCGAATTGATCCCAACCCAACGGAGGCCCAAATTGGATGGGAACTGCCCGCCTCACCTTGCTCGCATGGACAAAGGGTCAGGGGGAGGGACCATGACCCATCTGGCGGCGGATCCGCACCCGAGGCAATAACCAGATCCAGAGAAACGTTGGTAGGGTTTTATAAGTTCCCAAAAATGAATTTGAAACATCAAATATTCAAATGAGTCATAAATATTTTCCAATAATACTCCCACCGTCCCAAAATAAATGTCTTAACCTTAATACAACTTTATATTAAAGTTAGTACAAAGTTGAGACACTTATTTAGGACGGACGGAGTATTATGGTGAAGTCATATGTTTATTATAAGAAAACCATTGGAAGTATTTCAAATGGTCTCCATCGTTCACAGGAGATCATCTACCCTATCTGTCTCCCAAATCCCAGTCCCCATGGTTTAGGGCAGGACGTGCAGCGCTGTTTATCTCAACCCGACCCAGCCCAACCCACTACCCTCTCGGTGTCTCCCAATCCACCACCATCCAAACAATGCTAATCCAACCAAACATTTTCCATTCCCACCCCCGCAAAAACCCAAACTCAGCGACCCTACCCGGAAAGAGGAAAATATTCCTCTCCCCTTAGCTCCGACGCCGCCGGCTTCCTCCGGTCGCGCCGCCGGTCAAACCCGCCATAGATCTCGACGAAGCACGCTTACCAGGCGAGCAGGCGTCCTCTTCACTCCGACTGGGTCGGTGTGGAGAGGAAGGCCCACTCGACGCGGCTCCTTTGGTTGGTTGGTAAGGAAACCCTAGCTTGGTTGGATCGCTGTTCGTTTTGCTCCGGTAATTTGTTCCCTGTGAACAACCAAATCCAGCCAGCTATTTATTGCTCAAGATCGATCTTAGTGAACTCCATCCCATTGATAGGATTGTCCATCTGCATCTATTCTGGTGTTGTTACCCTCAAGTCGAACTATCTGATGGCAATTTTTTTTTCAGAAGAAAAAATGTAGTATTCCACCCCTGTTTCGATTGCTCGCCCACTGAGTCAATTTGTAACATGCATTGTTGCCGATGCTAGTCTGCTCCACTTGTTGTGAAATCCCATATTCCTGCCCCAGAACCAAGAAGAGGATGATGCTCTTGTTTGTTTTGACATTGTGCTTTAGGATAATGTTTTGCTTTGAGACCTCTTGTTTCTTGGAATGGCTGGGTGGCATCATCTGTAGGAAGGGCCTTTCTCGTATCAAGTGGTCGTCAAATCATCTTCTAACGAGCTAAAATTGCTGGATCGAAATATCAATGCTACTAATGCCGTGTGTATTTTTGTTTTCCTTTCATCGTTGCGGGATATTGTTGTTATGATGTAAATGTTACCTGTCCTTGTATCCAATGCATTAGCTATAGTCCTCACTAAAAAAATAGGAGTGACCGTTGACCCAAATATCCAATGTATAGTACACTGACTAGGTAATCCCGACTCAATTTTTTGTTGTTGAACTGCACTAGTGGCTACTTGATATTTATTTTTTTGTCTTTGGTTGCCATTATCTGAGCAATACAATTGGTGCTTTGTAGCTTGTTCCAAGGTTAAATGGCGAACAGAGCAAGGTGGGTGATGAAGTTTGAAAAGGGGCTTATTGATATACTACATGAGAACAATAATTCACACTATAGGACTCCAAACGGTTGGAGAAGCGAGGGATGGAAGAAAATTGTTAAGGACTTTAATGATAGGCACCCAGATGCAGGGTTTACTAAAGTTCAAATTCAGGAACATGAGACTCAGCTGAAGAAAGACTATAAATTGATAAAATCCATCCTTCAGCGTGATGGTGTTTCATGGGACCAGAATGCTTCTATGATCAGAACAACAGATGAAATCTGGGATGAGATAATCGATGTGAGATTCTAACTCCTACTCTACTGATTATTCATATGACCAAGTGATATTTAACCGTTCATTTTTATTTTACTAGGAGTCACCAAAAGCGCGGAAGTACCAAAGTAAGAGTTTTCCATTGCTTCAGTCGCTGGAGATGTTGCTTGAAAGTAATTTTCTTCCATTTCTAATTTGTTCAAAAGCATTGTTGAGAGGGCAACACAACATAACCAATCTGCTACCATGATAGGGGATATTCCTGAAGGGGTTGGCAATATTGACGAGGAAGACAACAACACCAGCACACTGCGAAGCATGTCTAGAAGACTTTCTGCACTGGTTCCTGGAAGCATCGATGAGGGTGAGAACAATATCAGCGCACTGCAAAGAACTCTGGAGCTAGGATCACAAGGTCTGGAAGATGTCGATCTTCTGCAAAATCACGATGAAGAGGCATTGGAAAGACCACAGCCTGGGGCAGACCCAAAGCCACAACAAAGAGCCGATGAACCCGCGCAGTCAAGTTCTTGCATAGAACCACAAAAGGACAAGCGCAAGAAGCGCAAGGCGTCTGACATCCAACAGACCATGGAGGCTTATCTAGACTTCAGAATGAAACAGGCTCGCACGAAAGAACAAACCAAAAAGGATGGCGAGCAGTTCTCGATTTCAAGGTGTATCAAGGCTCTCCAATCTATGACCGATGTGTCTGATCAGGTCAGGGTTCTAGCTGCTGATGTCTTCAAGGATTCGGTGAACCGGGAGATCTTTCTCTCGTATGAGCTGAGGCTTCGCGCTCTGTGGCTGAAGAGGGAAGTCAACAGGTTACTCTGTTAATCAGCTGTTGTAGCGCATCGCGGTGTCTTGTCTCCGGTTAAATGTGAACTTCCACACCCTGGAGTCCTTGGTACGGAGTAGGTTGTAGCATACTTTAGGGTGATAGAAGTATTTCGTGACTCGCCATGTGTACTCATGCAATCCATGCTTCATGCCAATTATTTGGTTCTGTGGTTAGTAGCGGTATGTAGTGTATCACTTTTGTTGTTTGATCTGTTTTTGCTCCGCTATTAGCTAATTTACACAAGTGTTTTTTCGGAGTTGCGTTCTACCAAAATGCCCAAAACGCCATGGATTTTCTTTTTGATTTCTCAAATGATGTTTCCATTAGCCCTTGTGGGCTTGCGCCATGATTAGAATATTGGCATCAGATAAAATCGCATTAGGAATTATTTTTTTGCCTTTTTTTTTTGCTTTTGAGATATTTTTTTGAATCCAGGGATGTTTGGAATGGGTGTAAAATTTGCATGTTCATCGGTATTTAGCTCAAACTTGAACTGAATACCGGTGGACACACAAAATTTACACCCGTTTCAAATGGGGCCTTAGTACAACCATTTCGTTAAACTTCAGACAGTTGTTTAAAAGTACAACCAGAGGCCAGCCATTTCGTTCTTTAGTAACTAGTGATGCAAGCTCACACAGGGAGGAAGTCCTTCAAAACTGGATTCATGATTGTAAGGGGATTTTTAAGTAGTTATATTAAGGAACAAAGCGAGGATAAGAGGAAATTGCTTTCAACATATTTTTTGTCCAAGTGGGATATATCACATACTATTCTTCCATTTTCTTCCAAAAGGGCCTTTTTTATTCTATTTCAGTATTTCATTCCATCTAGATCTAAGAAAGAACCCAATGTGCAGTTCTAACATTCATCTACCTTGGTTGCGATGATAAAGAAAGAACCCAATGTGCAGTTCTAACATTCATCTACCTTGGTTGCGATGATAAAGAAAGAACCCAATGTGCAGTTCTAACATTCATCTACCTTGGTTGTGATGATAATACAATGCGCAAAATATAATTCAGGTCGCTGCATCAACAGAAAGAGGGCGGCGTTACCCTGGCAACTGGCATCTAATAGCCACCGCCATAGGACAACAAATGGATGATTCGGAGGCGCACTGCACCCGTCTTCAAAATGCCCATACAACAGCGCAACCGTGTAAATATCAATCCCGGAACGCAATAGTATCTCAATGCAATGGCAGAGTTCAGCAGTGCACATCCAAGCGTAATAAAAAAAATGTTGCAAACAGCATTCCATATTTTCTTGTGCCATTCAGCTCTCTCGTTAACCAGGCAAGAAAACCCACAATTCTTTTCACAGCCCAAGACAGCATGTGAGGTTGTCACAATGTCACCTTGAAAAGTGCCACATGGACACCTGCTAGCTGTTATTGGCACACACATTGCATGAACATCCAATACAATCTACCAAACATTTGCATAAAGGGGGCTACAAGTATTAAGTAACTGGATCATGCCAGGACCCACAATCATTATAGCATTCTAACAAACAAAAGCCTGTTTATTTCTCTAACCAGGAATGCAGATTGGTGGACCAAGACGTGCGGTTAACTTCAACCAGTCCATGGCACTCAAGCCATTACAAGATGCAAAACACTTAACTATTTAACAGGTCAATGGTGATTGCATCTATCCTGACAGTTCCAATACTGATATTCATAGCTCAGGCTGCTTTCACCTGTGATGGACAACCCATGGTTAGTGCTACCCATGTACTCCCTCTGTTCCTATTTACTCCGCATATAAGATTTGTGTCTAGTCAAACTTTACAAACTTTGATCAAATTTGTATTAAGAAAAAATCAACATCTACAATATCAAATATACATAATATGAAACTACATTCCGTAATGAATCTAAAGATATTCCTTTGGCATTGTAAATGTTGATACTTTTTTCTATAAGTTACTTCAGACAAAAGTTATATGCAGACTAGAAAGAAACGGAGGGAGTGGTATATATTTTAAATGCCAACAGTAAAGCACAAGACAAGCTTTTCTGGGGCATTTTTTGTCCTAATAATTAAGTTGTTTTAGGTCTCGGGGGTAAATGGAGCTTCGCAATAGCTTAAGGTCTAATATTTTAGCCCAGCAATATTAGCTTCTAAACAAAATGCTTAAAGTTAAAGCACTCACATTATATGCCAGATGGGAATAAGTAGCAATATCGACATCCAAGGATTTCGAGACTGTCAAATGCTACGGCCATCAGTTATCAAATGTCCAAAGGTTAGTCATTATTTCTATTTGTGAGGCCATTCTGATTAACATGTGGAAAAACATTGATAACCGCATCATCAATAAAATTTAAGATAGGTCAAAACATGAGTAATAGCACAACCTGTAGTGCTCCCTACGTTTCTTTTTTACTTCACATATTAGACTTTTGTCTTTCAGTCAAACTTTATGAAGTTTGACAAAATTTACAACAAAAATAGCAACATCTACAATACCAAATAAATACAATATGAAAACATATTCCATAATGGATCTAATGATATTTATATGGTATTGTGAATGTTGATTTTTTTTCTATTGACTTGATCAAACTTCAGAAAGTTTTGACTTAAGACAAAACTAATATGCAAAGTATGAAAAAATGGAGGGAGTATAATAAGATCGAACGCAAGAAACTAACATATATATAGATGCAAAACAGGTATCATACCAAGAAACGCTAGCTTGTAGGAGGCTAAAACAAGTACATTGTATAGATAGTCCAAGGAGTTTCTTTACTAAATCACAGTTCACATTTGCATCTTAAAGTTGCCAGGCTGAGTCAAAACACATTATGAAGTTTAAACCAAAATAAAGAAATTAGAGAGAGACAACACACCACACACAGTTGTACTACAATAGCGAAATATTTTCCTTGCCAAGATCAGAATCATAGGAAAGCCCACCCACACAGACTATTTGATGACCAGAGCCTGAAATGATAATACGGTGAAGATATATAAAACAAATACTGATAATGATAAAAGGCAGGAGTTTACTTTAGTTGAGTAACATGGAATTTTGTCAGTGAAGACCAAACATCAGCATTTATGTAAAGTAGACTATAAAGATTAGACAAGCGTTTTAATACAGGAGAATGTCCACTTGCCTTAGTAGATCATCACATAAGTGAAAAAAAAAGAGCAAGAACTAGACTTAGGTGAACATGACTCAACTGATAACAGTGTACTAGTGGCAAGGAAATAACAGTCACCATAGCTATTATATATGATCTCACGAACTGTAACAACAAAAGGTCCTCTCCAATCTCCAGCAACATATGCATCACACCCAATGCATCAGTACAAAAAGGATACCAAGGTCCTGGAGACTCTATATGGGCACAGCATCTATTCAAATATTCACATTTCTTTATTGTATACAGACCAAAAACAGCATATCCGACAGTAACATGCAAAGCAGAACTACGGCATAGAGCTATCATAGCCTTCACACAGCCTAGTGTCTTGGACCCATGCTACAAGAACGGGATAGACGCACTGGTGTTGGCGCTCCTTCTCCTGCAGACCCTGAATTGTATAGCTTCCTGCACCCTGGGCAACGCGCATCCGCCTCGAGGATCCTCTTGTGGCAGAAGAGACACAGATGGAACCCGCAAGGGCAGGGGAGGAAGCTCGAGTCTGTTGGGTCAAGATCCTCGTAGCATATCGGGCAAGATAATGGCATAGAGAGGATACTCTGATGTGCTGCACTCATACCCATCCCCCAGCAGTTGCCAATCCTCGCTGGGAAGCTCGACTGCTTGGAGATACTGGGCAAGCTCTGTGGACGGAACGTATCATCTGGTGTCCAAGCTCTTGCATTGCTACGAATAGGCTCTGTTCTTTTTGATGTATTTGCCAGAGGTGCCGACTGACTTGTAGCTGCTGGGGGCATCGTGGTACCTAAACTCTGGTGGCAATGACTGTTATCATCGACTGAAAGTGCATCAGCAACAGCTTCCCAATCATCCAGCACCCCGTTTTCCTCCTCAGGGCCACTGCCCGTGTCATCATCCTCGGCATCACTCACGCTCCTGGAACTGGACCATAGACTGCTCACACTGCTGAGGCTGGGGCCACCTCCATTGCTGGAGCAGCGCTTACTCTGAGCACAGCCTCCACCTCGAGAGTTGTCTGAACAAGGGCTGTGCATGGGGGAGTCAAGGTCGCTGCCGCCTACTTCATGCCCGGTAGCTCCAGCATCCTCCTTGTCATCCTCCAGAACACCACCCCTTGACCTTGCATCGGCACGCCGCCTGGGGAGTGGAGGGTGTGGCGAAGCAAGGATTGGCGACCCAGCATTCGACCCTGCCCCTGATCCTGCGCCCGCTGGCAAAGGCTTGGCCGTGGCCTCCTTCCCATCCTTGACTAGACCAATCCAAAACGCAAAAAGATCAGAATTTGAACCCAAAATATCATGTTGAATAAAAGCTATCAATTTGTAGCACCTAGATCACCCCTGTGCCGAAATAATCAGATTCCCCTAAGTATCCAAACTCCCCCATAGGCACCCAAAGACGAGAGACGCAACTAGGATACACAGTGCAGAGATCCCAACTTCCGGGATTGGCAAGGGAAAAGACCAAGAATACATAAAAGAATACATGAGCAGGCACGAGATCAGACCTTGCGACAGCCACTGCTCGCGGCGGGCGTCGAGCTTGCACTGCTTCAGCTTGGCCGACGAGCGGTTACCCTGCGGGACACGAAAAATCGGCAGATCGGATCAGAACGCCGCGCAATCCGCAGCCGAGCCGGGGGACGCCACGGCCCCCAAATCGAATCGCAGATCACACCACACACACGGCCCCCTTACTTACCCTCTTCTTCTTGGCGTCGCGCGCCGCGGCCGATGCGGGCGAGGGGGCGCCGTCGTATCCCATCCTCCTCTAGGCGGAGACCTTGCGGCCGGCTGCCTCCTCTGCGGGCGGGTGCGGGCGTGCGTGCGCGGGACGGGCGAGGGAAAAAACCCT